TTTGTACAATATATAGTGATGCCGATCTCTGTAGGTAGGTTTGCTTTCCTACATTCCCTCATAAAATACAGTCTCTTGCTGGCTTTCTTTACTGTCTGTTCAACATGGTAATGCCAACATAGGTTGTCTTGTTGCCATAGCCCCGGTAGCTTAAACTTGGATACCCTCTCCAACCATTAGTCATTCATTCGTATAAGATCCGGCTCAATGGAATTTTCGCAGAACGAGATCCATATATCCTTGGTTTTCTTTGAGTTCAATAGCATGTTATTCGTAGTTGCCCACAATCCTCCCCATAATCGAACCACATTCCTTACCTGCGGTTAGCCGATTAAAATTCAGCTCCCATTTTTTGAAAGGTGTTCGCGCAACGTTTGCGGGTACGGTGACTGCTCCAATCACAGCTTTACTTTTATCGTTGCCCCATGTATAAATGACAGAACAAGCAAGATCAAAATCAAAATCCCGTATGTTACTCGTATGTACCTGTATGTATCCGTGTGTTACTCGTATACGGTTAACCATATGTACCCTCGTGGTGTTTTAATCATGATTAAGTGCCACGTGCCATTCCATCTCAGGAAGTGAGAGGATAGGAAGAAAAGTACCATGCACAATCCGCTTTGTGATGTACAGATCTAGCGGGTCGCGTGGTAAAAAAAAGAAGCAGAGGAAGCAGAAAAGAAATACCGGGAAAGTTCTCATAAAACTGGACATAGAAATAAAGCGGGTCACCTTTGCCTTTACAATCTTCTTTGCAAAGCCATTTTGAAAAGACTGTAATTGTTTCATCTGTGTTGTAAGACGTGGGTGATCTCCCCAGACAACATCTGCATAATCCAGGTGTGGTAGACAAGGCCATCTAAGTATGCCATTAGACTTCTCTTATCCAGCATGTGATAAATCCGGTTGAACACAGAAGGCCGGTGCCCTAGATAGCTTTTGTAAGAGACTATTGATATGCATCTTCCATTTCCATCTCATCCACTACTACCCCTAGATACTTAACAGATGGAACACGATTTATTTGTCCTTCATCGATAAAAACATGAAAGTCATTAAAGTTGTTCCTCCAAGTTTTGAGCATGGTCTTGTATTGCTGGCAACTTTGATAAGGGGTGGTGGAGGCATCACACGCACAAGATCATAGCAAACAGGCCAGTCGAGCCAAAATAAGGTACAATGTCTCAACTAGTTTTGCAAGTGGTTGTAACTTTCTTGTATTAGTTTTCTTTTCTTTTTTGTGAAAATAAATAGTTAAGTGTTGTAAACAAGAATTTATTAGCTTGAGGATCGCGATTGTAACTTGGAGCGAACACTCAACAGATTTCCCACTAAGCTGATTAGCTGCTTTACAATAACTGAGCCAATCCTCGCGCGTTGATTGGTCGAGAGCTATGGTCTATGAGAGTAAAGACCATAGAAATCACGTAACATGTCACGCAGAGCCGGTTGTTTTGTTTTTGGTTTTTCGTAAAAAAATAAATGATATTGTAATAAACAAATCGACCACAATTTTCCATGGTCTACACTCTTATAGACCATAGAAATGGCGTCATAAGATGTTCAAAACTTTGCAGTGAAACCACTCGCCTGCGGCTCATGGTTCCACTTGACAGGCCCGGCCAGGGGGGATAATGGGATACCAATATACCCGCTATTTTGCCCCCAAGATACCAATATACCTCAAAATCGTAAAATGTATGATACTAAATACCTAAAATTATTTTGAAACAGAATACTAAATACCTGAAAATGAACAAGTCAGATCTTAATAAAAGAGAAACTCCTGGTTCACTGTCCTCTTCCGCTTCCTTTGCGGTCGGCCAGCGTCCATGGTGATCGAATCCTCGTCACCTTGTCCAGCAGCGCTCTCTGCAAAAGGTTCTTCATCAGCTTCATTGGGAGAGGTGGTGTCAGTGGATCCATTCACCAAGGCCAGGAGCAGATAATACTCCCCCTCATCTATTTCAACAGTTTCATTGTCAACAACTGTAATGCTGCTTACAACCCCCTTTATGCCCTCTTTTGGGATGACATGCTCTTCTTCCGAAGCAGCGAATAGGAGAGGATCGACAACATCTTGGGTGTAACAGAGAGTTGTTACATGACGAGCACTGTCATAGTCATCAACCTCATCCTGTAATAGTTTTGTAATATACAGTACAGTGGGCTGTTTGGAGCAGAACGCGGTTTGTATATTCGGGAAACTACAACATACGTAGACTGGGCGATGACAATGTTACGTGCTGTGCTGGCATCTTGGTGTTGAACGGGGATGTCTTCATTGATAAGCACGTCAAAGTCAACTGAGTGTTGCTCCGGGGGTGCAGACTCGTAGAGGTTCAATGGCAAGGTGCCTAGCTTGTCTTTTGTTGAAAAGTTCCTTGTGGTATTCTGTCTGACACTCTTACTGTACTGCTGTACCCACTGACGGATCTCATGCCATTGCTTCTTGAATAAGCAACCAGACAAAGGCTTCGGTAATTTTGCAAGGTCGAAGAAGTTTATATCAAAATCACCTAAAGTAAGCTGAAGGTATTACGAGGCCACTGGATTTGTAAAGTACCTGTAGCTCGTACCTGTGACACGTTTTAATAATTCGTTAATACATCGGGGAAAGCGCAAGCAAAAGTGGAGCATCATGGGAGTGTCCGTGTTACCCCCTCTCATACTGGAAAAGAAGTTTTCAACAAAGAGAGTTAAAAGGCTTTCAACGTCTAAGTGTTGAATGAAGTTTGGATTGAGTCCCATCACCTTTGTCCTCAGTCTAGTGAGGCCTTCCAGTATCATCTTCGCGGAGTTCAGTGTAGTAGGAGATAGTGTTGCGCCTGGTCCTTGGGTCTGGGAAGTTGAGCCCTTGATACCCTGAACTTTCAACGAGGCTTCTACGTGAAAAGCGTAGTAATGCTGGACGCGGGTAACTGTCTCATCAAGTCTTAACCTTGTGGTTGTCCCAGTCAGATTGAAGGCTGACAGAAAGAGCAACAAGTTTTGTAAGTATTTGATTAGGGCTTGAACTGCCGGCCATCCGGAGGATCAGGGTTCTTGTGCTTTACACCGAGCGAAAATCGAGGTTTCAGCCCCTTTCTCAGCAGCTTTGTTTTTGAAACCTCCATAATCGTTTATGGCAAATCTCTTTCGCAGGTCAACCAACGTTTCCTTCAGCTCAATTTTCACGAAGGTAGACCACTTATCGCATGGTTTCGCTTCTTCACTTCGATAAATAAAACATGAGACTGGCAAAAAGCGCACACTTGCAGTTGTAGCTTACAGTTGTAGCCATGATGTTTTGGCAGGCATGCGTAATGGTGCACAATGCACAAAGAGCCCGGTGTGCGCTGGGTACGAGATTGCGATTATGGTGGGGTAGGGGTGGGGGACAGGTATAGGAAGCCAAACAGTAACAATTTCGAGCATGCGCACTTTTTCTAGTGAGCATTAGAGCGATAATAAAACTGAGAAATGAATAAATTATTATACATGCTTTCTGTACCATATACCAAATACCTAGAATTCAGGAAAAACTGAATACTTTATACCCAAATTTTGACCAAAAAATACCATATACCTGAATTAAAATGGCCCTGAATACCGTATACCCAAAACCCCTGGCCGGGCCTGACTTGAGTTTTGAACATTTTATGACGTCATTTCTATCGTCTGTAAGAGTGTAGACCATGGGAAATTGTAGTCGATTTGTTACAGTCAAAACAGGTCAAGCGTACCCCCCAACATTCTATTAATGAATTGATTATTTGAAAAATGAATCCGTTAGTCGTTCCCGTAACTAATGTCAAATTCAAATCGGAATTACTGCATGCGTAACGAGCAGTGAATAATTTACGAGAACTTGTCTGTATTTGGTCAGATTGAAAATCTTTGAATGAATTAAAATTCTTAGAAGGCATTTACATCAAATTCAGGGAAACTGGGCTGGTAGAAATTTCATAACTGAATCGCGTGTGAATTCACGGCTCATTATGCATGCAAGGATGTAGAGATGCATCTGAAATCTACAACTGTCAACGGACTCAACTTTCGAATATTCATTAATGGAATCTGGGGGTGGGGGGGTACGCTTGACCTGGCTTGACTGTAAATAGACATTAGCTTATGAAACGAGATCTTATGATCTCCGAGATCTGCTTAATTCTTCATATCCTACGAAGGCCGAATTTATTAATTGCTTTATTATTCATTCAAAATAATTCCCAGTTTAAAAACATAGCTAAAACATGCTTACCTGCATTGATGTTAAGTTCTTCTTCGATACTGTTCGTTTAGGTTTGTCCAGCTCCGCAAATGTTCTCCAAATAGCAGATGTCGCCTTCCGAGTTGTCTTCTTGCTGTTTTTGCTATGTTTTTAGCTGTTATTTCGCCTTGTTCAAGCTGTAGTTCTTACTCTTGAAATCTTGAAACGAGTGAATTGTCTGCCATTTTTGCTTTCACAACCAAAACGACTTAACCTCGTCCCCAGGTCTTCTCGGTTAACGGTGTATTAACCTGTCGCGGGCTGCAAAGTTTTGACGTCATTTCCTCGTTAAAGACAAAATTATTCCAACTTTGGTCAGCAGTAACTGGTTATGGTGAATTATGCGATTGCTTTAGGCCAATCAGAATTGGGGAAATATTTTGAATGAATAATAACATAGCTTTATTATTATATAGCGCAAAATACATGGGTATATGATCTGATGCGCTTTACATTACAATGCTTTTAATATTACAATTAAATGGATACAAAATTACAGCTCTTCTAAATAGTTAATTAATTAATAAATATATATATATATATTTTATATATATATATATATGCATGCAAAAATCTACGTTAAAATTCTGTAGGTTATAAGCTAAAAGCTAATTTAAAATAATGAGTTTTTAGCCGTGCCATAAACGTTTTGAGATTGCCCAAAGCTCTCAACTCGTCTGGAAGGGCGTTCCACGGGGTCGGCGCGGCTGCAAAGAACGCCCTGTCTCCTGTTACGTTCTTGGTCTTTTAGGCAGATCGAGCAGTAAGTGTTTTGTATTTGATCGCAGGTTATAATTTGACTGTGGCTTAAGTCTAATTAATTGATGAATATAGCGGGAGCACTACAATGTAGAGCTTTGAATGTGTATACAACCAATTTAAACATTATACGGTTTTGAACTGGTAGCCAATGCAAGTCTTTCATAAGAGGAGAAATGTGATCACAACGCGTGGTATTGGAGATGAGCCTTGCGGCAGCGTTTTGAAACCGTTGCAACTTAATAATATAACTGGCTGGTAAGCAGTACAGCAGACTCTTAGAGTAGTCTAGGCGTCCAATTACTAGTGCTAAGATTAGTGTTTGTGCACTCTTGTACGAAAGGTACTTTCTAATGCGTCTAAATTTGTATAGTGAACAAAAGAATAGACTACGTGCTTTTGTAATGTGGACGTTAAAATTCAGCTGCGAGTCAAACCAAACTCCGAGATTTCGCGCCTTGTTTACAATAGCAACAAGTATCACCAACACTCAGACTATCTAGGTTGACTTTGCGAAGTTGTTGGCGGGTTCCGATTAACATGACCTCAGTCTTGTTCTCATTAAGGGTCAGTTTGTCAGCTTGCATCTACGCCCTTATGGCGGGAATACACTGTTCCATAATATGTACTGCCTCTGCTTCATTAAGGGAGTTGTCTGGGTTGAAGGAAAGATAAAGCTGAGTATCGTCAGCCAATGCGAGTGTGTTGGGTAGGTACAGCTTGATGACCTCGAACAGCTTGCTGGCATAGGCACAGAAGAGAAGGTACCCTAGACACGAACCCTGAGGAACACCAAATGGCAACGGATAACAATTTGATCTATCTCCATTTACCGACACGCGCTGGCTACGTCTAGATAGATACGATAAGAAGCATGCGAGAGCAGCGTCCGTGATGCCAAATAAATTAAAGAGATGATGATGGTGATGCCAAATTAATTAAAGAGTATTATAAAATAAACAGTGCGAGAATAGAACTGTAGTGTGATTGCGTTTCTTGTGTGGGCACCGGCATGAGAATATGAGCTCTGTGAAATCCATGTTTCTGCCCCACACTGTACTTTGACAAGAATGGTTTAAAGGTGAAATAAAACTTTTACGCATTATTCACGTTCGAACAGGATCATATTGCAAATCCTTTGCCACTTGCCATCCAATTTCGTTTTCAATTTTGTCAAGCTTGTCAATCCCACTTTCCCGTAGTTTCACCATACGTTTTCTCCTTAGGTATGCAAGGAAATCATTCTCCGTTCTGACAAAGTTTTCACAGAGGCGCTTTGAATTTTCATCAAGATCATTTCTAACTGAATAGCCCTTTACAAATTTGTTATGATAAGCTCTTTGGATGCGAGTTCCATCGATCAAGCATAATTGCCGTATTTCCTGTTTTCTCCGACGAAACGTACTCAGTTCCTCATAAAAGCTTGGTCCTTCTTTCTTTACTCTTCTCCAAAACGTCGCGTTAAAATAATCAAATAACAAAACGTCTGCTTTATTCCATCGCCTTATATTCTCTTTAACTCTTGCGCTTAAAAGAGTAGCTTTTTCCTTGTCTTGTCGCTCATTGAGCTTTACGTACAAAATGTCCTCTATCTTCCAACATAGCAATCTCTTCATTAACAGCAGCGACTCATCAAAGTAGTCCATAATCATGACAAGATCAAATTCATTGTCTAGGAACTGAATGTACTCTTTAACAGCTGTGAGATTTTGGAAATACTCAAACCTCAAACCCAAATCAAACATCATGGGATTTCGTGCCAAATACATCATGATATCCTTACGAGAATGGCTATAAGATTGTATTGGTTTATCTAGAAATTTTTCCAGGGAATCGAGCGTAACTCCCAAACCAAACGATTTTCCTAGTTGAGCAAAGTTGAAAGCAGACTCGTAGTTGTCTACAGGGTTTCTGAGAATTGTAACGTACTTGCTAGTTTTTCGTGGAAAAAGCCAGTTCATTGGTTCCTTGTTAAATCTTGCATGACTGCAGAGTATATCAGGAGCTTTGCCAAACATACGGAGCGGGTGGAAAATGTGAAATTTCTCAGGCCAGCCAAGAATGGTGTCATCCCCCAGAGCAAATGTAAGATTCCTGGCGTCTCCATAACGAAAGAAGATGTTAGCCATGGTGCTTGATCCAGTTTTGTGCGTTTTAAGAAACAGAATCCTTTTTTGTGGGAAACATTCAGCTTCAATTACAGCCACCGACGAAAGATTAGTTGTGTTGACGTATTTGCTCCTGGTAAGAGAAAGAAAGAAACAAAATTTACTGGACCACGGGTAGACCGCAAAACAGTTGTTGTTTTTTTTTTCTCAAAATCGGTTGAGACCTCTTGAATACGCAAAAATACGGATGTTCTGCAGTCTAGACCATGCGTTGGTCTGACTGCGTAGGTAGTGTCCAAATACACCGAAATATCGGTCGAGCTATCGGTGGACACTCCAGCGTGGTTCCCTATCAGGACTATCAGGGACACCCAAGACCTTTTATTGGTCAAAAATCTGTTCTATAAGGAGCAAATATTACCTAAGAATTTCTAAAGCTCGAGAAAATATAAATAAAAAAACTGTCTGAATAATCCCTCCATTCGTCTAAGATATTCGCAGTTTTTCTTCTTCTTTTGGAGGTTTTGTTTTTAAATTTCAGTGCCAAGATATTGCGATTATTGTTGTAAAAGGTCTCCTCGAAAAATTTAGGTCTAGAGGCAAAACGTCCCTAGTATTTCCTGATGGAAGATAAGGCTAGTCCCCCGGTATTCCTAGAACTTTCAACCGGACCAATCATGGAAGCCTGAACAGTTCCGGATGAGAAAAAAGAGGGAACTTGGAAGTTTCGAGACGATCAAAATTCTTATAAGACATCCGATCAGATAAATACATTTGATCGTAGCTTCAAATTTACCAAACAGGCTTGTAAAGCAAAGGTAAAACCATTTGTGACTCTCGGAAACACTTCTAGCCTGACTTTCATCCGATTACTTCGAGTCGTTATTACTCCCTCAGTAACGTCTGAATCGACCGGCCGTTAATGCCGTCCAGTGACGTCACTACTCCTTGACCTTTGCTTAAATTCACGCAAAAAGTAAAACACGAGTTTCAAGTCGCAAACCGAGAAATATCGTTTGGAAATGTCTGCATGATACGGAATTGCTTTATTTTTTTCGATCGTAATTCATGTTTAACGTTCAAACTATCAAATGCATGCAGTACAACTCTGAACCGGTCAGAGTACTGAATTCTATAATCAAAGTCGGTGGCAATCACGCAATGAAATAAATACACACAGAGGAAACACTTAGTTCAAAAACACAGTGATTTGCTTTAATTGAAAAGAAGCTATTTGGTCCTTAACGAAAAAAAAAAACCAAGGAAACAAGAAAAAAAAGCTAACAGAATCATTACACTTGACGGTGAAAATAGCAAGAAGGTCGAATTATCACATTGATCTCAGAAAACTTCGCGTAAACAAAATCACCGGCCGCCGAAACCACAAAGCGGCTCAAAATGAAAAACCTACCGACTCTCCGTAATGACTCTTCCCTCGCAGTTCAATTTAGCATTTCAGTTTCGAAGACAAGGGCAATTTTGCTGTTTAAGATAAAGATTAAGCTTATCGAAATGTTTGAACTACACGAAAGAAATGCCAGGGATGCGATCAAGCGACAATCCCGCTAAAATTTTTCATGATTATACATAATTATACGAATGTTTAGACAATCAACCAATCAAAATCACTACCCGGTTTTCGGGTAGTGAGTGACGTCACTGGTCGGCATTAACGGCCGGTCGATTCAGACGTTGTTGAGAGGCGAAATCGACTTGAAGCAATCGGATGAATTTCACTCGGGAACACTTCTGACGTATCGGGAAATATTCGGTCATTCGGTTCCTCTTGCCTGTTTGGCCGAGTATCCACCGATGACACCGATATTCCCCGAATGTCACTGCCAGTGATCTCTACAGAACACAAATCACTAGAAATGCCTAGATCACTATATTATTTTTTGCAGAAATCGGCGCAGACAGAAGACGGAAACAAAATATTCCAGTCATTACACAGAGTTCTCTTCGCCTCTCATACAAAAACAGGACATGAAAGCCTTCGGGGTCGTCAGCTGGTCGATCTATATTGGGAATTCCGCTGAAGTTGGGTTTGATTTAGTCCCTTGATTTTGGGTTCAGTGTCCCTAAAACACGTCCCCAAAATGTTCTCAAAAGGGATTATTGACGCTAGTATTTCACTACGAAAACTTGACCTACCGTTATGTTTACAGATGGGACCCGTTAGATTTATTTTTTGAAACTTCTGCAATGTGCGCTCTCACTGAAAATGGTGAGTAACATATATAGGGATTTTATAAGAAGTGTTCTTTTTACCGACTCGAGTGGGACATCTCCTATTATTCATGCAACGGATTATCTAATCCAAAGGAATTATTCATTCCTCAGACACTCTGCCACATATTATATTAACATATAGATTTAGCCAGGGCTAAAAGCGAAGCTTATAGTTTGCTCAAACAAAATATAAAATCGTGTAGTGCTAAGCGGCGAAGGCAACGCCAGAGAACGGTGAAAAACAACAATAGGTCTAATTAGCAAAAAAGCAACTTTGCACATGCAGCACACTTTTTTTGTACATTTCTTTGCCGTTGTTTTGTACGACTACAACGTGAAACTTCCAGGAACGTCTTAGTTACACGTTTTATGGAGGAAATGTCACACAAAACAGCACGTTCTCTTGTTCACTTTTTTTTCACTGTCGCTCATTTTCACCTTGCATTGGTGGCCGCTTACATTTCTCATTTTGTTACCAACACTACAAAATTTTCATGTTGTTCGTCCAACAAAAAATGTCTCCTTTGTTTTTTTCTCTCTCTCTAGATCTCTGTCGCCCTTTTTCTCTTTGAGCTTCGCTGGCCCACCGCCTACTTTCTCTTTTACTCGGTCTTTCTTTTGCTCTATATTCCAAATTTGTGGACATGACAATTAATCTAAGCTTAATACTTTAGAAAACACGGATACAGAGACAATTTCCGCTTTCCGTTTTCGTCTTCATTGACTTTCTGGTTGTCTCTGCTTCACAAGACGCGAGTAGCTATCCGACTTCCCGTCAAAATAACCTCGAGTTGCATTTGTATTGCCATACCTGATGACTGAGCTTTTTTACATTGGTATGCCTCTAGTGCGGATGGGCGGTCGGGCGGTCGGTCGGTCGGTGAACGGTCACGTGATTACTAAATTTTCTCGGATGGGTAGTTTACCACATTTTCTTACCGATGGTGCTCCGCTGCGCGCGCTTTGCGCGCGAGATCTCCGGTATTAAGAGCCAGTTTCTGTAAATATCGAAAATCCTTCAACAGTTTCGAAATTTTCAATTTTTTCATATTTTGTCCATTAAAGCCTTTAGTAATTTATTTTCGAAATACAATTAAAAGATCCTAAAGCGCTCGATTTTTTTCAAAATCGAGGAAAGTCGAAAATCGGCCATTTTGGCCTCCCACCGCGGATGAAAATTGACAAAAATGATGCTTTTGCTGTTCCCTCGTGCTGGTAAACACGATAACATCAAGCAATGTACTTTTGATATATCATAGAACTTTTCTTGCTCTTTCAAAAAGCTGACAAACTAGTCCAGTTTTTTTCTGGCCGTTTTAGTTACCCCACTTGAGGCGAGTGAGCGACTAGGCTAATTTTCGTTAACTTTAGACTACGCCTAGTCCCCATTTTTCCTCAGGGATATTAGAGCGAGCGAAACGCGAGGGTGCGTGAAAATCAACCCACGCGAGAAAGGCGAAGCGCGGCGCTGAGAGAGAAAAATTCAAATTATCAATTTTGTCTGTTTCATTCACCTACCAACGTTATGCTGGCGGAGGAGGCAGGACATGGGGTGGGGATTTGATTGTCTTTGTTGGCCCTGGGGTAGGGCATTTGACTGATCTTGTTCTCCTAGGGGAGGGGATATTTGAATCTTCCTTCGCCCGACGTGAAGATATTTGACTGCCGACTCGGACGAAAAAGACTGAGACCGAACATATGTTTCCCACTTCAACGCTTCACGCATGCGCCGTACGATCTGGAAAAACCAACGAGAACAAGCGAAAGCTGAGTGGATTTTACTGTTTTGTCTTCAAATTTCGTTTGTTTTAGCGTGTTTTTGATCAATTGAACCTCTTAAGATACTGTGGTATCAAAGTAAAAGGAAGTGAAGAGAAACCAAGTCGATTTTTGCAAGTACAATTGATCAGTGTATGGCTCATTCGCTACAATCAGTGTAAGCTTATAAAATTGACTTTCTTTGTACCCTTTACTAAGAACGGTGCATTCAAACTTCCAAAATGTGGACTTTCTCCTCAACGTTTCTGGAGGTTTTTTAAAGGAGCCAAGATGGACGTTTAATTTTGAGCTCCCGCTTCTTACCTTAATGAGTCGTTTTTCTACTGTCCTTTTGTTAATAATTTTCACTGAAATAATGCCAAAAGAGTCAGTTACTTCACTAAAGCAACAAAATCAAGATTTAAAGGATAAGGTCGACGCCCTTTCGAAGGAATAACGCAGCTGAAAGAGAAGGTTCGGGTCGATTCGGCCATTACCTTTGATGCTGAAGCAGCTGCTACGTCTGGCAATAGCAATAATAATGCTTCGAATGATGAAACCGTGTCTCGTAGTCTACAATAGGGAATTTAAGATACCGCGACTACGGACTACGACTACGGTTAAACATGCTACTGCGCATGATCAAAACCACGTGACCGTTCATTTTTCCCGCGTAGTCCTGCAGCTACGGTGAGTTGTTGAGCTGTTTCGCGTAGTCGCGACTACGGAGAACATTTTGCTCGCATTTTGCCGTCTCGGTAATTCAAGGATCTCGTCTTTTCGTAAAAACGTTTTCAATTCACCTGCTTTAAGTGAGAGGGAAGCGAAATATGTAAGTTTTGTTTAATTTCTGCTCAGATTTACGCTTTTAATCTACTGTTGTGACTATATTTTTACCTAGCTAAGCTCATATTTAAATAAGCTTAGCTGTTTATACGCAGAATTCAGATTCACGGCCGAGGAGAAGAGAAATCATGCAGGTGATTTACTTTCTCTTCGCACTTGAAAAGTTTCAATGTTTGTTCGAACTGATTAGTGTGTCTTTCCACTTGTGTAACCTTTGTTTACGCGAGTTTTTGTATCGCATTTGCTGAATGAAAATGATGTAAACATCTTCGAGACAATCGAAACTCGGCATTTCAATACTTCAAACTACATCAGATCAGTAGTCGGAGAAGTCCATCTTCTAAATCTAATAAATGAGCTATTACTATTTCTGTCTATTTCTTTAATATCTGACATAAGTATTGATGGGCGAAAAAATAAAACCTAAACCAAAACTTTGTTCACTAATTTCACCCGACGTAATTGCTTCCTTCAAGCATGGAAGAATTTGCTCATTGTTCTAAAGATAAGATCACATGCAAAACTGACTTTTTTGTGAACTGTGATGAAAAAAAGAAAATCTTTGCGTGTTGTTTCCCTCTCCGCCTCCTCTCTCGTAGTCTACTGTCTGTAGTGCAATCTTAACGTTCTATATTTGCACGACTCAACCCAGTGCTACAAACAAAGGACAACGTTCGTCCAGCCGTAGTTCGTAGTCCGTAGTCTCCGTATATTAAACTCCCTGAGCGATGAATACAACGACCTGTCGGCGTCTAATTCTGGTGTCGTTGATCAACTCAAGGCATTAAGCCGTCGTCTTAATAAGCTTAGCGCTGAAGTCTCACGTGTTGGCAACGCCATTGACGAGGTTGAGGAATATAGCTACCAATTTAATGTAAAAATATTAATTGGCCTGACGGAGAAAAGCAGTGAAACCGCAGCTGAAACAAGCGCCCTGTGCGTAAAATTATTCCAGGAGATGGGGGCAGAAGTGTTTCCGTCGGACATTGACATTATTCATCGCGTCCCCTCGAGGCAGCAAAATGGCGCTCCGAAACCGATCATCTGTAAATTTGTAAGACGCCTTGCAAAAGCAAGTGTCATGGAAACTCGACAAAGTGCCCCTCAAGTCAACCCATCAAATATCGGTCTGTCTGCTGATAGCGTTCTTGACAGAGTCAGAATCTTCGATCACCTCACCCCCAAAAAACAACACTTGTTGTTTGAAGCGAAGAGATTTAAAGAACAGAACCAGTCCAATACCGCTTCTGCTGGGCCAAGAATTCCACGATTTATTTACGCAAGAGTAAGGGTTCCCGACCAATAAAGATAACGGACATTGATAGTCTACAGCGATTTTTCTCGGAGACCTGACATTATCAGTTCGACAAGTATTTACTATGATCTACTTTAGTTAGTTCTATTCATGAGTGCTAACGATCAAAACTCTCGCGATACTCTATCTTTATTCGGTTAGCTCCCGTGTTTTTGATTAAAAGTAAACTTAGCTCATGGTCAATTTAATAATTGTTTACCTTCCCATTTGTCCGCCAAAAAATACCTAGAAAAACTCTCTAGCATTTATGACCTTAATCCGGCTTTTCAGGCTAAACGCACTTGAAGACCCCAATCCGGGTGATAGTCTCTATAATCATCGTATTCATAGTCGATACTATACCCCATATAGTTTCTACAAATTTAAAAGTGAACTTCCCAGTCGTGTCAGTGATTCGAGCTTCTCTCTTTTACATAATAATATCAAGAGTCTTAAGCGAAACCTTGAAAACTTTCAAGTTCATCTATTGGACGAGTTAAATTTCGAATTTAGCATTATAGGAGTCTCAGAAAGTAAAATAATCAGCGGTAAAGAAATGGATTTTAATCCAAGCATACCTGGATGTGCCGACATCTCTAGCTTCTGGAGATGTTAGCTTGTGTATTAATGATTCCCTGAAATATGATTGAAAAAGTATCTGATGAAGCCTTCCAGTCACTTTGAAGATCCCAATCCGGGTAATAGTCTCTATAATCATCGTATTCATAGTCGATACTATTCCCCATATAGTTTCTACAAATTTAAAAGTGAACTTTCCAGTCGTGTCAGTGATTCAAGCTTCTCTCTTTTACATAATAATATCAGGAGTCGTAAGTGAAACCTTGAAAACTTTCAAGTTCATCTATTGGACGAGTTAAATTTCGAATTTAGCATTATAGGAGTCTCAGAAAGTAAAATAATCAGCGGTAAAGAAATGGATTTTAATCCAAGCATACCTGGATGTGCCGACATCTCTAGCTTCTGGAGGTATTAGCTTGTGTATTAATGATTCCCTGAAATATGATTGAAAAAGTATCTGATGAAGCCTTCCAGTCACTTTGAAGACCCCAATCCGGGTGATAGTCTCTATAATCATCGTATTCATAGTCGATACTATTCCCCATATAGTTTCTACAAATTTAAAAGTGAACTTTCCAGTCGTGTCAGTGATTCAAGCTTCTCTCTTTTTACATAATAATATCAGGAGTCTTAAGCGACACCTTGAAAACTTTCAAGTTCATCTATTGGACGAGTTAAATTTCGAATTTAGCATTATAGGAGTCTCAGAAAGTAAAATAATCAGCGGTAAAGAAATGGATTTTAATCCAAGCATACCTGGATGTGCCGACATCTCTAGCTTCTGGAGGTGTTGGCTTGTATATCAATGATTCCCTGAAATATGATTGAAAAAGTTTCTGATGAAGCCTTCCAGTCACTTAGAAGACCCCAATCCGGGTGATAGTCTCTATAATCATTGTATTCATAGTCGATACTATTCCCCATATAGTTTCTACAAATTTAAAAGTGAACTTTCCAGTCGTGTCAGTGATTCAAGCTTCTCTCTTTTACATAATAACATCAGGAGTCTTAAGCGACACCTTGAAAACTTTCAAGTTTATCTATTGGACGAGTTAAAGTTCGAATTTAGCATTATAGGAGTCTCAGAAAGTAAAATAATCAGCGGTAAAGAAATGGATTTTAATCCAAGCATACCTGGATGTGCCGACATCTCTAGCTTCTGGAGGTGT